ACCAGGCATTTGAAAATCAGAAGGAAAATATCTATTATCTTTTAAGATAATAATAAGTCATAAAATTTTTATTTAAATGTCTTTACGTGTGTTTTTATGATTAAAGACTTTAACACATTTCATTTGGGATTCTTCCAAATTGGTCAGCTAGGCAAGTCATCTTGAAATCTTGGTAACTTTAGGAGCCATTTTCAAAATATTATAATGTATAACTCACTAACAAATGAGCTATAATTGTTACATGACCATATTTTTTTTATTTCTAAGACTTTGATTTGTTTAAATAATTTTTGAAACATATTTTCAACAGCTCCAAGAATAATAATCACAACTATTCTCCATGTGAAAAAATGGAAAATATGCTAAATTATGATAAAAACAAAGATGGTTAATAAATTGATGATGAAATATTATGAAAAAAATCCTTAAACATGAACATACTAGAGTAAGTCTGTTTCCATAAAATGCATAATAATCACTAAGACATGAACTCTCTACTACATCAATTGAACTGTGTATAATACATAAAATGTTCATATATTTAAAAACTGTTCATCTCCAAATGTTTTCATATCCTATACCATTAATAAAAATGCTTTAAATTTATCTCAGTAACAGTAATTATTCTTATGTCTTCTACTTGATATGTTGCTTTGATATGTTTTCTGAGCAAATAAAAGGAACATAAAATATATAAAATTATAATATGGATATTTGTGTTTTCCATTAAAATCAAAGTATAAACCAAAAATAAAGAGCATAAGGAGAAAACATCAATACTTGAAATGTAAGTTAAGAATTCAAAACCAAATTATTAATAAATACTTATGCCTATCAAGTAATGGTACCTAAATTTACAGTCATTTTGAAATTGTTCTTACTCTTTGGAAAAGAATTCTTACGTAAATAGTGAAATAAATGGCATATTTATATTAAAAATTCTTTGTACCACTGATGGTAAAGAATTCCAGATACAGAACTGAACAAGCAAAGAAAATATTATTATGCAAATGAGCTGAAGAGAGGAAAATAAGGAGAATGGATTCTATGCCCCCCACCCCAATAAAATAAAGTTTAGTTTATCTCACTGGGTGAGGAAATGACTTGGAAATAAATTTCAAAATTTATGTAAAGAAAAACTTAAATGATAATAAACATCAATAGGTAGTTATTGGGTAACATTGCCTTTCTCCAAAACATCTAACTTCAATTTCTATGTGACTCATCTAAACTATCATTAAATATTTAAGTTCTGTCAAAGTTTATATTTCAAAAGGTTGCAAGAGACCTTTCCAGGTAGTTTAAACACATTATACCACAATCTAACATGTTTTTAACTTTTATCTTATCAGTAACAATAAACTAAAAGAAGTATTAATTATTAGCACTTATAAAATAATTGTACTCTAACTGGTGAAATCACCTTAGTAGCAACCTACACTTAGAAAACTGTATTAACAATCTATTATATTCTTACTTCAATTGAGAGACAAATCTCTGTGCTTTGCACTGGACTCTCAAATGTAAGGAATTCCTACAAATGTATCCTATTCAACAAATTAAATCATCATCAAAATTATCCAATTTTAGTTATTAAATGCTTTAAGGAACAACTCAAAAACAACAAGCTATAACAAAGCTCAAAAATACAGTATCTATATATTCTTGCAAGTTTTTAAAACTATTATTAAACGCTATCAAGTTTCCATATTAACATGTGTCAGAATACATATATTCATTACCAACCCATAATCATGTGATCATTTATATCACAAGTTAATATTAGGAAGTCATATGAAAACCACCCACGGTCATATACCATCTTCAAATAACAGAATCTCATTGCATTTATCAATGAGATAGGAAAGGTACAGCACCTAAATTCATTTATTTTTGAGGAGGTGGTGACATTCCAGAGATTACAAGAAAGTTTGTATTCTTGCCAACAAATTTTAAATAGAATTACGTAACTATGAATACACAGCTGTTTTAAAAAAAAAAATGCATATATTCTCTTCGTTTCATAGCAACTAAATTGCTCTTGATGTGAAGTTATTTGCAGTCAAGATTTTTTTGCTATTCCTATTTATTCTTACATACTTTACTTATCATTGAAGTATATATGTAGTCGATATTTTTTTTTGATATTTTTTAAAGAAAAATAATACTGGTAGCCATGGCATAAATTTTTAAATATTATGTTCAACTAAAATTATTTTTTTATTTCCCCAAATATATACTATTAAAAATGTTTCATATTACTTTAAAAAAAAATTTAATGACACATGTACTTCTTAAGACTCAAAAAAACAAAAAACGGAAAACAAAAAAACCATCCCATGTATTTAAAATAATGAGTAAAAAAAAAAAATGAGTAGATACTGGTCCAGTTGAATATTTAATCTTCCTAATTATCTACAATGCTTATTCTTTCATAACAAAATAGTATACAGACATAATGGGGGAAAATCTAATTTGAATTTACATTAAATATAGTATGCTTTCAAAAATTCTCATACACTAAAAATAGCAGTAAAATAATAATTTAAAAAGTATTTTAAAAACTTGTGTTTAATGATCCTGAATTACAACCTGTGTAAGTGATGCTGACATGATACCTGCACACATCATTTATGACCATCTAATTATTACTTGCAATTGCCTGGCTAAAATCTGTAGTAGAATTCCTGACTCGTTCAAAACAATGATTCATATGATTTATATGCAAATTATGTGAGTCTCAGTATAAGAGAAACTCCTCTACTAAGGCATCAAAATCAGGAAGAAAAAAAAATAAAGCAACTGAAATCTATGTAATTTTTCCCTAAGGAAAAAAGTGAGATATACTTCAAAAAACAAATACTGTAGTCACCAAAAAAATTCCCTGAAATATCACTTTCTAATTTTAATTTAAAGAATATCATTGTCCTGATTTTTCATATCACAAAGATGCTAATACTTAAGTTTTATCGACTTTTTTACATACTTCTCCCTAATAATGTAAGAATACAAATATACACACTTTATGAGAATTTTTCGCTCATACATCATTTTAATACTGTTTTATTAGTAGACAATTTGTAGCAGAAGAGTAAAGCAAGTTTAATATTAATAATCAACATTTATACTCTAGAAATTACTCACTATCTGTAAATAAAACTTTTCCAGCAATATACTATTTTATAATGCAGTGGATATATTTATGTTTACCAACATATAACCATTAAATGGCTTAAATTTGGATGTCTTGGGGTTCTAAACATTAATACTGGTTAATAAAATGTCTAATATTTGAATGTATTAAAAGGTAAACACAGGAAACCAAATTATAACAAGGTGTGATCAAAGAAGAAAAGGGCTATTTTTTTTCATTCATCTATAAAACAAATTTATGAGATCGTAAAGAACAATTTAACAACCTACAGAAGGTTCAAAGTGGGGAAAGCCAGAGCCTGAGAGAAAATGGATTTGTCAAAGATTTCAATCATTCAGTCTAGGGAGGAAAAAAGCAGAAAACGTAGGTTCATTTTGCAGTATCAAGTAGGAGGCATAAAATCCAGTAGCCTGTCTATGGACTTCTATTTATGTATTTAAACCCTGTTTCAATTCACAGATTATGCTGATCCTTCCACATGTAAACAGCCAATAATGATGGCCAGGCCCTTAGGAAAGGAAAACATACACCACACAGTAAGGTCAGGAAGCAACCAACCACCACAGGACAACAGATCAAAACAGAATGGTTTCATATGTTTCTATTGTTTATATACTTCATTTGAAGATGATATTCCTTAGGGAGTAAAGGAGGTTGTAAATATTATCAGGAACATGCAACACGGTATCAAATAAAATACAGACTTTTCATGCAAATATGCTAAGCATTTCCTGCCTGTATCTGTCAATCAACCTGTAGTATTGGTAGCCATTCATTCCATTTTTTAAACCTAAATGTCAAGCCAAAATAAATCTTTGGTCTTAATTCGTTTTACTCCGAAGAATTCCTTACAGAGAATCAACTTCTTTCAATGAAATAATCAAACTCGCAAATCGTAAATTTTTTTTTTAACTATGGTAAGCAATAGAAAGGAGTGAAAATGCAAAAGGTATTAATTTACTTGTTTGTGGGTTAAAATTCTGAAAATGACAAGCAATTGACATTCTGTTTGGTGTTTAAGCAACTCAAAAAATTACAACACAATATAAGCAATGGTGGAAATTTACCCAAAGTAGCAGACTGGAACATTTTAAACACACAAACTGGAGCCACAGCTGGCCACATGTTTTTTTGAGTTTGGTTTCTTAAAGAGACAGTGTCCTTGGACCTATGCCCTAAAAGGGAGCACATTTCTAAAAGGTTTGATTAGCAAACATCTTCTCTTGGCATTTCTTCAAATCCATAGTAGGCCAACAGTGCTCTATTTTATTTTACTGTAAAATCCAATTTTTTTTTTCTTGAATCTACAAATGAAGATGAAATGAAATGCCTGGGAGGCAGAAATGAAGTAATAGGGTAAGCTACCGTGACTAAAGAAACCTCAAATAAGGAGACCCATAGATCTCTTATACTAGCAATTAAAAAAAAAAAAAAAACTTAAAATGACCACTGCGTCTTCATTCATTGCCCCACTCCTTCACTAGGCATAGGCGACAGAGCATATTGTAACCGAGAACACCGGAAGCTACACTACTGCAATTTTGCTGTCGAATAAAGAGGAGGAACTTGCTAATAGAGTCACAAGCAGCACTCCCGGCAGGGCAGGGAAATTTCAAAGAGATCTCTTTTTTCTGTTTAGGAAAAGATACCCAGTAAGGGGACCCTACACCTACCCTAAAAACCAGATTAACTCAGGATTGCTAAGGAAGGTTTTTCTCTTTTAGTGTATGTCCATTGACAAAACTGCTGACCAACTCCTGCACATGGGGGCCAAAAAAAAAAAGAAGAAGAAGAAGAAGAAGAAGAAGAAGAAGAGGAGGAGGAGGGGAAAAGAAGTTTGGCTTACTTGGTGTACAAACACATCGACTGGAATATCCAAGGGGCTTCCTTCTCGGTTTATCATGGAGATGAATCCAAATCCCATTCGCACATTGAACCACTTACAGTGGCCAGTTCCGTGCAAAATCTGGGATTCCTCCTCTGTCTGTTCCGGCAGCTTCCCGGGCTCTTCACCACCTTTGCTTGCCCCGCCTGAGTAGAACAGGACACACACAAAAAAAGAAGAAAAGAAAAGAAAAAAGAAAAGTCAGTCTGTATTTCCAAACTGTTCATTGAAAGGAAAAAAAAAAAAAACTGACCGGGGCGTGGGGGAAGGAAATAGAAAACTCAAGTGAATGGTTTATCTTCTTCCATAGAAAATATTTAAAATGAAAGGGTTAAAGAGGGAAGCGGGGGGGGGGGGGGGGGAGGCACACACTGTTCTATCGATCGCATCAACTTCCACTTTTCTGTACATACGTGTACTTTTTTCACTTAACTCCATTTTTCAGCCACATTTTTACAGCACAGCCTGCGGTACTTTACTTGCATATTGCTGCTGTAAACGCTGATCCCACTTACAAAGAGAAAATTCTCAGCCAAACTATGCTCTCCTGGGGGCGCGAGGAGGAGAGAGAAATCGTGAAGATGGTTAGAACTAGTTAATGCACATGCGGCAGCAGGCGAACCCAGGCTTATTTGCAATGTGCATTCCCCTCCCCCCCCCAATAACTTTCAATTAAAGTTGGGGTGGGATGGGGGAGGGGGCAGGTGTATAAAAGTTTTCTTGGGCTCACTAACTGAAACTGCGCTTAATCACACTCAAACAATTCAAACAATAGCCCCCTGAAAGCTTTTCAAGTTGTGAATCAGTGTGGGCGGTACAAAACATTTTTGGAGATCTGTAACAATAGGTTGCAGAAAGCCCCATTGCGCGATGGGGAGCGGGGGTAATGCCCAGTATTGGGGTAAAAGGGGAAGGGAGGGGGGGGACGGGCAAAGAAGGGTGGGAGAGGGGGAGGTGGGGGGAGAGAAAGGAAGAGAGAAAAATCACAGTAAAACAATAGAAAAGAAAATTAACCTTCGGCCATGTTGCCCCACGGGCCCTCTGCTCCAAACTCGTGAGATGAAAACTTTCCCTTTGGATCGGAGTGATCTTCTGCATCAATCTAACATCTTGATTTTGTGCGATCACAAATTTAGCTCGCATGGTCTAATGTGCTTTCCCTCTTTTGATTTTTTTTTTTTTTCCTCTTCTCTCTCCAGTTTCTGGCCCCCTGAGCCACGTGACTTTGTCAATTACATGCTTTCTTGCTACTAATTTCACCTCGGATCCTTAAGGGGCTGGCAAGAGGAAGAGATAACCAATCGCCATTTCATCTAGGCTGACATCAAAATAATTTATGAATGAACACGAAAAACTCAAACATGGTATCTTAAAGACAATTTGGGACGCTCCTTTACGATAAATCAGAATGCTGATTTCGTGCTTTTTCCTTAAACACAATGGAGGGTCTCTGTGAATCGTCGATTTAGGAAAAAAAAAAAAAAACAAAAAACCCGGCACAGTCATATATGTGCACACGCGTGCCTTACACACAAGCCTGTCTAAATAATCTCGTTTAGGGGGGGAAAAGCCATTTAAATAAAGGAACCAATGTTACGCTTGCTTTTTTTTTTCTTTTCTTTTCTGGTTTTTTTTTTTTTTTCCTCCCCTAAGAAGTCAGCTGCTCCATAGCAGTAAACCTGCCTGGGGTGCAAATTTCATATTTAATTCAAATCTTAGAGGAAAATATGCGATTTGCAAACGATCTAATTAAAACTGATTCCATCTCCCTGAAACTTTGCATAGTTGTGACATAGACCTACCGTAAGACGGAAGCACACAATTACCTGATCGTGCCCTGAAATTTTTTTTCGAATTTAAAATAAGATCCTATGGGGGTGGGGGGGGAGGAAATTAAAAAAAAAAATTTTAAAGAAAGAAAGAAATTCCGCTAGCACCTTCGTGTACTCAAAATCATGTTTAGGTTTATCATTTCGGAACGTTTTTCAAGGGGGAATTGTAACATTCACAGGTTTCTCCGCCATCTCTTTCCGGGGGAGGAGATGTGATTAATGACTTCCTAAATAACAGCCCAGTTTTCCAGCCGAACGTAGAGTGGACCTCAATCAGTGGCGATTGTTCCCCAAGAGCGAGAGACGACGTAGGGCGGGGAGGGGGGAGGGGGAGGGGGAGGGGAGGGGAGCGCCGGGCAGGGGAGGTGAAGAGGAGCCGCCAGCGGGAGAAAGAGGTGGGGGGAGAAGAGGCAGCCGTGGGGGGGAGGGGAAAGAGGGGCAAGTGGGAGAAAAAAGGTGAATTCGTACCATATTGATTGGACCCTGACATTTAAGAAGTGCACTGCCAATGGACAGAAGAGCCCAATAAACGAACATCTAATAACGGACTGGGCTCCTACCGTCCCTTCTCCTGCTCCGGCCTGGCCCCAGTTTCGAAGTGCTCACCCTTTACCTTTCAAATGGATGCAAATGGTCGTTGATTACTAGATGCGGACGCCAATATCACCGACCTCATCGAACACTACAAGGAATATTATGGATCAACTAGATCCGTGCTTCGCTTCCTTTAAAACACAAAATAGAACCCGTTCCTCGGAAACCTTAAAACGCCCCACCACTCTTTCCCCCACCCCGCCCCCCATTTTCTTAAACAAGCAGTTTACGGAGAAACTGTACAGATACCACTTCCCTTCGGCAGAGCTACGAGGCGACCCTCCCCCACCCCCACGGTACCCGCAATCCCCCTCCCCGCCTCTCGGAACGCGGCTACACTCCTGTTTCACACAAACTAAAATGTGGGGATTCTGAATCTAAAAGCTTTTGAAGACCTACAGAGGCACCTATTTACACTTTGTCCCCATACTAAATAACTAAATATAAACTAATGCTAATTGGTTCAGAACCGAAATAAATGGGTGTGTGTAAATATGTTCTTTTCGGCTGTTTGTGGTAAAAGGCATCAATCAAAACTGATCAATTTGGAAAGATTTTTCGTGTTTATTTCTTTTGTTGTTCCCCAGGAAAGGAGGCAAAGCTTTCTCATTTTATTTACTTTGGGGAGAATAGCCATGTTTCAGCTGGTAGGGAGGAAAGCAAAAGTGTGCAAATCCAAATGATTTCGCAAGTGTAACAAAAGCGCTCAAAAAAATTCTTTGCTAACAAAACATTTTTAGGCATTATTTTAATCGTGGAAATCAACTGATTACACTGATCTGTAATGGAGTAACTTTAATAGTGGCATTTCAGGTGAAACATTTCAGATACTGTGAAACAGAAAAACACTAAGTGATATGTTTTCTATGCTAAAGAATTACTTTTTAAAACCAACATCTGATTTAAAAAAAAAAACAAACATCTGAAAGAAAATCAACACCTGATAACAGAAAAATAATCTGAAAAAGTATTCATGGAAACTGAGGGTAAGTGCTATTATTTATATGAAAGTAATTGTCGTAAAATTCACAGACCAGTATAGTCTAGTTTTGTCATAAACACACATTCATGGTAAACAATATTTTATCTGGAGGTTTATTTTCAATTAGAAAACAGTTTCATCATTAAATCAGAAACAACAAATATAGGTGGATTCTGAACCCCTGTTGATTGTTGAATCTGATGAAAGTCAAACCTACAAATATATGTATGTGAAAAGTGTGAAATACCATAACTGAACCACATTGAACGGTGTGTGGTTATGAGATTCACAGTCTTGCCTGATTGGGGGCCTCCAGTATTAGTGGAATTAAGGTAGGGTTCACTGGACTGGTCACTGGTGTCAGGGGTTATCGACTCATTCATTTCCTGAGAGGGACATCAGCCTTTCAAGTTGTGTAGAAGGGTTTTTTCCAACTGGGAACTCTGAGAAATCCTCTAACATTCATTCACAAAGAATTTAAGGCAAATACATTTACATACCTGGGGGGGGATGGGGGGGACGGACAGAGGTTGAGAAGGGGAGAGGAAAGAGTAAGAGAGGAGGAGGGGAGGCGACTGGAAGGGAGAGAAGTGGAGGAAGGGGACATAATGAGACAGAAAATATCACTATTTCGGGGATGTGGCACTGTCGTTTAAATAGACTCGTCTTTTCTGCCTACCTCCCCCGCAGTCTTTTGAGCCTAAGATCCTTTTATAAAACTGCCCATAATCTCTTTAAGCCCTTAGAGTGCTTCTTTCACATAAAATAGTCCTATGAATCTCCTAGAATGCTTTCCAATTTGTCACCTTCCTCAAGTCTTCTGGTTTTAATTTTTTTCTCATTTCCTACTTGTTTTTAGTGCCAGAAAGACCTGTGCTTGACTCAAAACGCATGTTCTGTGGTGGGGGGGGGGGAGCCAAACGTTTTTAGTAGCTTGATTTATCATCGTTCTTTCCAAATGTTTCAAAAATGAGTTCAAGGAGTCACGAGGCATCATCAAGGCACTAGGGAGAGAAATTAAGGAATTCACCTCTCCTCGGCCCCTTGGTCATCACAATCTAAGATTTCTTCATTTCAGAAAAACGAAGCACGCAGCTTATCGGTCGTTATTTCCCTTCTTAAAAACAAACCCCCCAGCCTTGGAGGAGCGCAGGGTAGGTGCAGGGGGCGCCGCCGTCGCTGCGGTCAAGCATCGCCAAGGAGTGACTTCCATCCCAGCAGAAACAATGCTCCGGTTCTCCTTAAAACTGGGAGGAGGGGCCGCACAGCGCGGGGTGGCCAGCGCCCCCAGCGCCCCCAGCCGCCCCGCCCGCCCGCCGGCCGCGCTCCCCTCCCGGCTGGGAGGCCGAGGTCTGCGCCCCGGGCGCCCCGGCCCCCGCCCCCCCAGGCCCCCCAGGCCCGCGGGCCCGCCCTTTCCCTCCACCTCCCGCCCCAGCGACTTCCTCTCCCGGTCTCCCCCGCAGTCACCTTTCCCTTTATTCCTCTCATCACCGAACCGTCTCCAGAAGCCAAACCTTTCCAAGGAGGCTGGTGCTTCCTCCCTAATAAGGGGCTTTTGAATTTTGTCGTTTTGGCCCCAAGAACACCGAACAAAAGAACCCCTTGCCTTCACCACTAGGGAGGCAACATGTGCCCCATCTACTAACTACTTCTGCTGCACTTCCAGATGCACAGCACTTATCATTTGGTCCCTTTCCGGGGGGCGGCTGGTCCGGCGCGGGATGCCCGCATCCCTCCGAGGGCAGCGACGTCCAGGGAGGGGAGGAGTCCGAACCCCGGAGCCTGCCCCCCCCACCCCCCGTTCCCCCCGAGGGCCAAACCTAGAAGGGAGCCGTCTTCAGACAACCCTGGCGCCGTCCTTTCGGGAAGCCAGGAAAACGTGGCCATGCGCCTTTGGAGGCTCAGGGCAAGACTCCTGCGGGGGAAGGGGGTGGAGGGGCGGCCGGGGGCGATCTTAGGGAACCGGCTCTGGAGCCCCGGGGGGCGCCTCCCCGCCCTTGGGCTGCGGACCCGCACGTCGGGCGAGCTGCGGGCGAGCTGCTCCCTGCTCCCTGCTCCCGAGCCCTCCCACTCACTGCGTTTCAGCAAACTACTGGCAAAGAACTTTTCTTGAAATTCTTAGAATACGGAGTCAAATGAAAGAGTACTCGCCTGGGTGCGCCGGTCTTAGAGTAGAGGCACTTCAGAATTGGGGGGGTATTGTGTTTTTGTTTCCAAAAAGCAAAATTCCGTTCTCATTTAATTTCCTTATCTGGAAGCAAAATGCTCTGGCTTAAACACAATCGTTCCACTTGGAGAATTTTTACGCAGCTGTAAAAATCTCTTAAAGTCTTTTTCCTTAAATATCTTTACACATTTTCCCAGGTATACTTAAATTATGGAAAAACAGGAAACGATTTGCATAAAAGTTTAAGTTTTTTAGACCAATTGCCTTCCTATTTCAAAAACAACTTTCTTTCCTTTTGGTCACTTCTGTTTCAGCAAAGTATTTAAAGCAAACACAATTAATTCAGAGAAGGGGCGTTAAGACCACCACTTTGTAGAAACTTTCTTTTTAAAAAAAAAAACTGGGATACAAAAAAAATTCTATTAACATACTTTTCCCCCAATGAAAAGGAGAAATATAAATTTTGTTATTACTCCTCCCAAATATTTTCTGAATTGTATTCAATACTTCCTTAAGTGATTTTAACTTGAAAAGCAATAGGTTTGAAAAATCATTTAGTAATAGCCTAAGTTTGTGCCCAAAATAGCACAAAAAGTGTCATGTTGTATCTGAAAAATTAGTCATATTTTTCACTTGTACTACTTGAACATGTATTCTTCATAATTTAAAGATATTTTTACAGTGAATATTTTCAGTCTGTAAAAATTACATTAAATAATGTAAAGCACACAAGTCTTTCCCTGTCTCCCAAAGTAAAGAATGAAAGTTTATTCTTTAAAACTTAATCTCATCTAAAGAAATAAGCTGAAATAACAGTGTGAACTGTTTCCCAGTTATTTCTTTTAACATCTTCATCTTGGCTTTATCTGGGAATAGAGGACAAGTAGAAAAATGGGAAGGAAAAGAAGAGGGCAGGAGTTAAAGATTAGGCAAGTGAGAAGAAATCTTAAGGCTTTGAAGATGCCTGTATGGGAAGCAAATCTGTGGAGAAAAAAAGAACTAAATACTGAAAACCAGGGGGGCCTGGTTGGCTTGGTTTGGTAGAGCATGGGACTCTTGATCTAGGAGTCAGGAGTTCGAGCCCCACATTAGGTATAGAGATTACTTAAAATAAATAAAACTTAAAAAAAAAAAAAAAAAGAAACAGGAAAGAAAGAAACTGGAGGCCAGAGTTCTGGTCCCATTTAATGACCTTATGCCCTTAGACTAATCACTGAGCTTCTGGGTCTCAGTTTCCTCCTCTGCAAAGTGAGAAGACTGAACCAGTCAATGTTCAAGTTTTTCAGCTTAAATGTAATCTCTGAAAACAAACTTTCTTTCTTCAAAGTGGAACCTCTCCTGGTCAACCCTTTTTTAATCACAAGGAAACACAGACATGAAACTTTATTGCAGTCACTTAACACATTGGTGTTAACATTATTTCCCAACAGAAAAGAAAAAGGTTCCTGGACTGCCTCCAATCTGCCACCAGAGAAAATCATAATCAATATTAAGGGGCAACTCATTGGTAAATTAAAATATTTTAACAACTTTTCAGAATCTTCTTTTTCATGATACTCATTAAGAGCGTCACCTCCGCGTCAAAGGATTCATTCTAGAGAAAAGTGCCAAACAGCAGAGCATATCAGCGGCTTCCTCATTAAAAATTTGATCCCTACTACTTCCTCTTGCTACCTACAATTCTATACCTAATAAGCTTAATAACAGAATAACAGCTCTTTATTTGAACTTATTAATGTTCATCAACTTTGTTATATTATAGCTCTTAAGTGTGTTTCCAAAATAGTATTAATCAAAAGTAGACCCAAGACACTAAATTCAGCAGAGCAGAGGCCAAAATACTACATTATTATCAAGTAGAATTGTTACTGAAGTGTTTTCAGTTAATTTCAGTAATACAAGAATATATTTATACACCAAAGTCTGTTTTTTACGGCACAACTAAATAAGTAAAGGGATATATATATTTTTAAAATCCAGGTTTAAATTGTTAAAAAGTTATTTTTGCAGTACAATGAGGAACAAATTTCACACATATTCATGAAAAGCAAAATAAATGGAGCTTCCTATATTAAGAAAATGTCCTGGATCCCCGAAAAATGTTTGATAAACTCTGCTCTTTATGTTATGGTAAAATATTTGGAAATAGCACCAAGTGTCATCCTTAAATTAATTCAACAGGTATCTGTGAGTTCCTGCTTTGATATGGGAGTCACAAAAATGAACAAACCACAAATCTCCACAAGCATTTAAATATATATCTTATCTGTCTTGCCTGAGTAATGGAAAAGGAAATCATAAAATCCAATACTGCTAAAATCAGAAGGAAAAGGAACTAGAATATTTCATCCAGGCAATTCTGGTGGGAATATCAGTTTATAGATGAAATCATCTGGAGAACAGTAGGATATAGTACCTATCTTGCCAAAGTGGAGAATTCCTGAGGGCTGTCAAGTTTTCTTATATGCTTCCAGGAATTTTTTAAAACCTTAGTCAAGTTAAATATTTAATTGGAAAAAAAAGTAAAGACTAACCTGGGGCTGATGAAACCTGGTTGAATGACCTCATCGTCTTCTGAAGAACCTAAAATCAGAGAGCTCAAGTCAGTTCTACATTAATTGCCTATTTAATTGCCTCTTCTTCAGTTTAATGGCTTATTAGAAAGCAATAAAATGCCTAGGTGTTTGACTCTGTGAGGTGACCTGTAAACTTCTTTTTAAGAATTTAAGACTCACCCAGCAAAATCACATAACCAATTGGCATAAACTTGCCTTTCATTCCTATTTAAGGACACGAGTTTAAAAAACATACTGGACAAGACCACTAAGATAACTCTTAATTGTTCATGACCCAATTTCACAAACAACAGATTCAATTTTTTTTTAATGTTTCACACTATTAATTCAAAAATCCCATTTTTAAGCCACAGTTAAAAACCAACCCAATTTACAATATTTTATTGATGATCTTATTTGACTGTTCGCTTCAGGTATACTTTAGAAGATAAATCATGAGAATCTAACTGTGATACTACATCATTCATAGGGGGTCCATTATATTCACATACTTTGTTAGAAAAGAATAATAGTAATACACTTAACCATTAGGTATACTTAACTAAAAATATCTAAGATAATTTACATTTTAAAAAAGCAAAAACAATTGTTTCAAAAATATGGGTAAGTACTGAGATTTCTAATATATATCCACTGGCAGATGTCAAGACACAGTAACTTGAAATAAAGAGGTTACACACTAACGAAGTATAGCAATTGGAAGAGAAACTCCTGCTGACCACTGAGTTATCTTTTTTTTTCCCCCCCTGGGTTTAGAGTTATTGAGGTTTGGAAAACAGATTTGTTTGAACATGCATCCACTCACCTGCTACCACCCAGGGTTGTCTTTCTTCCCTTAACTAAGTTTTACATACTACATCTACTACATCAACTCATGAAAAAATAAACTATCATGTGTAAATTCTTTAAGTTGCAATCTAATTTTCTTCTTAAAATGATATGGAGGCTTTTCCAAGGGCAGAGTTCTACTGAATGTTGACCCAAGATTCTTCTTACAAAGGATGACAATCCCACTGGGTAAGATTTGAAAAGAATAGAGGAAGAATGTGAACAATAGGCACGTGAACCTCTGTACATTAAATCCTTCAGTTATCCTGTGTTTACAGCCAAAAGACAGAAGACAATGACAGACCCTAAAGTTAACAAAATTCATTAATAAAACTTATTGAAATAGTTTTCCTTTACATTGAACCTGTATTGTTTGATTTTGTACATTTGGTTTAAGTGGGAGTATATTTAAATATTGTACATAAATTTCAACAAAACCCTAGCTCATGTTTTCCTATTCCAGGAGCCCACAGTTTATGCTGAATCTTCTCTATGTGCTTATAGTTACAGAAAAGCTCAAACCAACATATTCAAAAAATGTGTAAAAACAGTAGGGATTTGTCAAAACTTGTCAAATAATTATTTTAATTATTATAAATGGTAGACTTATTAAAGTGAAAACCAAATGGTGTAAAAAGTTAGCTAAATAATACTATAAATTTGAGTGATAAAGATGTTCAGATTTTTTACTGTACAAACTTGCCATATGTTTTTTGGTTCCTGAGTTTTATTTTTTTTTTTTTTTTTTTTAATTTTTTTTTTTATTTATTTATGATAGTCACACACAGAGAGAGAGAGAGAGGCAGAGACACAGGCAGAGGAGAAGCAGGCTCCATGCCCCGGAAGCCCGACGTGGGATTCGATCCCCGATCTCCAGGATCGTGCCCTGGGCCAAAGGCAGGCGCTAAACCGCTGCGCCACCCAGGGATCCCGGTTCCTGAGTTTTAATATTATCATCCCTTTCAAAGAAAAAGTAAGATGGAATTATTTCACTGATGTTAAGTAATGGTTTAAAACTTTTCAAAAACAAGAGTAGGTTTAAAAAATAGAATTAAATTTAACTATGGATATTAAAATCCATCCATCCAGTTTTTCCTGAATAACTATTTTAGGAACGAAATAAATATTAAATGTTCATATCTTTACTACAGGTGACTGTTTTTTGGTATGAAATAACAATAAAAAAATAAGCCTTTAAATGTATGAATGCTCCCAAAACAGCTTTTTGTAATTTTATATATGGGTATTTTCATTTGATAGTATAGTTTTTGGTAAATTTTAGAAAACAAAAATCTAATTAAAACTGTGATATCCTAAAATATGTTCACCACAATAATTTCTGTTAATCATCTAAATCTCTAATTAGATCTCTTTTTCTTATTGTTCCATACTGAATACAATGCTTCTACCACGTAATACTGAACTGTAATTGACATAATAGCCCATGAAAATGTTCCCTGTCCCAACTTGATGCTATGCTCTATGGTGCTGAGGGGTGGAGGGGATTGTGTATATTCAGGTCATCATTGTAATCCTGGCATTCATTAGTGTTTGATACATATTTTTTAACAAACAAATGACTTAATGAATTTCTGAATCCTGGCTGACTATTCTTAGGATAGCTTTTATGAATTAAATGGACTTGTATACAAAATTTTCTTAAAACCATCTTTTCATAAAAGAGAATGTGACAGGCAATTAATCATTTGACCACTGCTATTGTGATATATATATGTCAAGTGATTTCAATAATTTTATTTTAAATATACACTCATTATTATAAAATTCCTTAATTTATAAATACTATTCACATTCTTAGATTTCAAATTTCCTCCTGTTAAAATACGTAACAATATTCTTCTCAAGTATTTTACATGCTGTTGTTAACCCACTACTGTAACTATTCAATGAAAAAGAAAGTGGTAAAAAAAAAAAAAAAAAAAGGAAAAGAAAATGGCTACTATTCTATACTATACACTGAAATTTATTTAAAAACAGCCAAATTCTTAAGCCCAAAGACTTGAGGAGTAATAAATATAAATGCTATTACATATTACTCACAATTTTATTTGAATTCAATTTACATCATGTTAGTTTTTACTTGTAAAAAGACAAAATTTAAGTTGGTGAAAAACAAATTAGCAATAAAATACATTGAAAATGTATAAGAAAATGAAAATTATTTCATTACTTATTCCCATCACTACAATTTCTCAACATTTAAAAAGAAATCTAAAATAATAAATCTTATTTCTCCAATTATCAGTATCTTCCAAAATTATGTTAAGTGTAAAATATATTATAGTCTACTAAATAAAATGTTCACTTTATGGTTTATAACAAAAATTTGTCTATTTACAATATGTCTCAATTATCATTAAACTTAATACATTCTTTGGAAAGCAAAAGAAGCAACAGTGTGACTCTTCCTTCTTAGGATATTTAGAAGAAAAGGCTTTAAAAAATAACTATTTATGATCATATAACAAACACTCTATACAAACACCAGAGTAAAACCTAAAGCAGGATACTTATTACATTTGTTGCAACTTAAATATAACATATATACATGTGAAACAAAATATTAGATGTAGAAGTTCAATATTAAAGTGAATGTGTGTGCTTTATGAAAATGTTTTCTTACTCTGTCCTTTAAAGGAATGGTCATATGTATTAAAACACTCCCCTATAATTTTTTTTTTTTTTTTTGCAAATTAAGTCAATAGATAAATTCAAATGCTGCCTAAGTAAAATCAGGATAAGTCATTTTGTAATTTAACTGAACATCCTACTATAATTTCAGATAAAACTAAAAAGGCTATATTCTCATCTACACACAGATACAGAAAACTTAAAATAATCTATAGTAAAACAAATAATTACATGTAACTTTACACATTCGAAAAACCATAGGTATTGGAATGTTAACACAGGAAAACTCACATTTACTAAAATATTTAGAACATTATCTTAAGAGGAGGAAAAAAAATTTATATTGCTTTCAGAAAACATTTTAAAATTGTATTTTTATATTTATGAAGTAAATTATAATACATTATTTTATATTACTTATAATATATTATGTAAACACTTAACCTTAGAGGTTAATATTTGTAATACAGCTGAAATACAGAGGTGAATTTAACTTTCTCAACCATTTCACAAACTGCAACTGGATTGGCTTCATGTAATACAGGAGCAGCCCTAGCATTCTTGTCAAATACTGTAATAAAAATATTTTATCCTAGAAAATAAAAAACTTCAACAAATAATTTAATTTGACCGACAAGCCATCAAGATCGCTTAAAGGTACTGACTATGGCACAAATGTTAACTGGTAAACAATTCTTTAACTTGAATGTGAATGTTGTAGCACAATTAAGGTACAGCAGCTGTTTCTGCCAATGCAAACTGTATTTTTCACCGTAAGAAACAATAGTTTTGTATAATAAGTCATAGCTGTCAGGGTTACACTGAATAAAAGAAAATAAAAACAAGAGTGGTTTTAGAATAAAGAGTCAAAATAATGGCAAAATTCCTGTCTTAATGAAGCTAATCACGCATACTGTGAAGGCCCACCATTAACTGTAAGATGAAAACCTTAGAGTAGCTTCTTGAAATGACAAACAAAAATGACTAAATAAATCCGAACACTTCTAGTTAATTACAAAGTTAAAACAATTTTATTTGATAATACATTTTTAAACTTTAATATACAACATTAATGGTTAAAAATTCATATCACAAGAGATTAACAACTAAATGAGAAGTGTCAGTGCATTGAACTCCTTTCAATAAACATTTAACATCAAGAAATGTTTTAGAGGCTGCTCACCCTTACATCACTGCCAGTGATCTAATGGTGTAATAAATATATTACTAGATAAAAATAACAGAATTTTAACTAGTAGAGAAGATTATACTAAGAGACTAATGCAAAAAGATAAAACATGGTTCACAGATTTCTTTCCAAAATTTCAAAACTACAAAAAAAGTAAAGTCTGTTTTTAGCCTATACGGTATAGAATATTTTACTTAAAATGTTTTTGTAGAGTCTGAAGAATATGTTACATAAAAGAATTGTTTGAAAGATATAAAAGCAGCATTTTGGCTCTTGCATTCCCAAATAAAAAATGGTGATTCGAAATATGTAGCAAATTTAAA